GCTTTCCTTAAGCATGGAAAGCATTATTGGTGGATTTCTTCAAGCATAGAAAAACGCCAAAATCATATGTCAACTTTCCTCAAGCATGGAAAGTGTCATCCGGTAGGTTTCTTCAGGCTTAGAAAGCTACCAAACTCATCTGTCGGCTTTCCTCAAGCATGGAAAGCATTTCAACAAACGTCATCCGGTGGATTCCTTCAAGCATAGGAAAATACCAAACTCATTTGTCACCGATACACTGGTGTCAGATAAGCGTTCTATCCCTTTACTCTTTTATCTGTGGAATTAACAATTTTTGCAGGTATCGGCGTATATAGAGTGATTTAGGATCGCAGAACGTCTTAAATCATTCTCCGTCCCTATCGACTACTTTATCGTTTTTGAAACTGACGTTTCTACAAACTCAGTCAAAGTGGGGGCTTCTGTAGACACCTAAAAATGTCTCCCCAAAACCAAACCTGATGATGAACAACCTTTCACCGCCATTATTGGTCGGGTTGAGTATTTAATCTTTGGAGTGCTTAAATCCATATTTCCATTTCATAAAAAACCCAATTCCTAGCCCATTTCCCCAAACCATAACTTATTCTCCACTTTTCGTGCCTTTAAACCCAAAATAATTCATTTCATGTCCTTTAAATTCATTCATTTCATGTTCTATTTATAAAAACGTTTAATTCAATGTATTTTGGTCCATAATCTGGGTCCAATGATTTAATAGTTGGATGGGGATTTAAAAGAGCTTTCCAACGATATATTATAAGCCCAAATCCGAGTTATATTATAAGCCCAAATCCAAGTTATAACGAATAAGTTATGGCCAAAATTTTAAAATGAGCCCAAACCGAACCTAAGCCCACCTTACCTACGACCCAATGATCATGTGGAGGGTCCAAATTATTTAATCCCATTCCTAAACCAATTTGGATTAATTGGAAGCTTCTACAAGTTTCTAAAAGATCTTAATTATCCATTTTGAAAAGATAAGATTAAAGAGTTTAAATTGAATAAAACTTTTCTTTTTGAAAATCCTATTTCTATTCGAATTGAAAGATGTTCAAAGATAGAAAAATATTATTTTCGTGCCTCATAGTTTTTATCCAAATTTTATATGGTTGGATTTTTCTTGAAATTATCTTTCCAATGATATATTATAATATCAATTCCGAGCTATAACGGAAAAGATATGAATAAAATGTCAAACTCTATCCAAAACTGACACTTTCTCACTATTTCGGCTATATCTTTTATTCTATAAAATATTTTAATCTGATTCTTATTGGGTGGAAAGTAGACTTCAAGAGCTTTCCAAAGATATCTTATTCATCTCATTCCTATTTCTGGATCAAAAGATATGATAAAAACAAAAACTGCAAAAACTGCTGTCTATCGAGTTTTAGTCCAATTTAATTCGGATCTTATCTTAATTCTTGGACCCTTCTTTTTTCTCTATAAATAGAGGTCATATCACCCCTTTTCCAATCATCAACAAGATTGATCATAAAATAATTCTCTTCTTCCTTTTTAGTCGAAACACTAGCCTCCCTATTCTTCCATTATTCTTCCCTTAAGCACTCCAAGGAGTCTATACAATACCCAAAGTTCTATACTTAAACTAAGGCGTGAAAGGTATAATTAACTGAGGGTTTGGACCAAATCAAATTTATATTTAATTAATTTAATTTTCATTTGATTTAAATTTTTATTGAAGTTACTAACAATTTGTTCATGATGTAGCAATGTAAAGGAATGCGCAGAATGTGAGTAATTAATTAATTTAATTACTCTTATTTTATTTTCTTATTGCTAGTATCATGATTAGGGTTATTTTATATTTGATTTGACTAACGTTATTATTGTTAAATTGCTTCCAATATTAATGATAATTCTATTATTATTTTTTATCACCATATTGCATGTTAAAAGGGAATATGTAATTGAAAATCATGCCTAATAAGATAATTTGGACAACCGGTTTAGGTTCCTTTATAATATTGTTATTAATTAAAGTGATCACAAATATTTTAGAATTATATGTTGCATTAATATTCAACCAATTTAGCATAATAATAGTTTGGAGCAAATTGAATCTTTGTTTGTATGCCTTTGAGATCACAGGAATCACTTTTCACTAAAAGAATCGAGTAGAGGCCAATACGGGCGAATTTGACTCCATGACTTACTTTGTACCATCATCCCCGATCCTCCTTTCGTGGTTCCAAACCATATGGAGTTAGTAATCTCATGGATTATGAATGGGGTGTAACTTTCACGGGTTAATCGTTGTTGCCTATCGTTGTCCCTTAATCGTGGTTGCCTTTTGTGATCCGTGAACGGTTTACAAGTTTCTTAAAAATTTGTTGGCGGCTCCCTACTTTCCTTGTCTCTAATCATATTATGTCAATTCCCAATTCCTTTGAGTGCCAAGCATATTCACACATGCTTTAACGTAGGCGCACTTCGAACGACGCCTACAGTTACCAGCTGTAAAAAAAATAAAACTCTCTCTCCTCTTTCCCCTTCTCTCTCCTCTTTCTTCCTCTCTCCTCTTTCTCCACCGGAATTCTCACCGGAAACCTTTTTTTTTTAAAAAAAATTCTCTCCTCTTAATTCGAAGACCGCAAGGCTAGTTTGTATTTCGACCACAATTTTCGCCGAAAAATCAATTTGAAAACCTTTAAGTGAGAGGAGAGAGAAATTACCATCACCATCATCATCTTCGTCTTCATCAACAACAATGTCGGTGGGTTACTACATCGTCCTCACCACCACCATTATCGAATATGTAATAATAATATCCAGAGCTTCAATAACAGTATAAAATCATATGATAACAGTATATAAATCAACCATAGTAGTATAAAAATCAATAACAACAATATAGTCAAACCCACAATAAGCATATACCCAAAAAGTATACAAAACAATTCCACAATAACGGTATACAAATAAAAATTAATAGTATACAAAATAAAATAACAGTATACACGTTAATGATAACGGAGCACCGATAAACAATTAATGTCGTCATATTCAACTCCTTCACATCTAAATTGTTACGAACTTTGACAACACCAAACAAAGAACTCGTCGTTTTTCATGGAGAAAGTCGTAAATTTGCACACCGGTGGTGAATTCATCGTCTCTCGTGACCAAAGTAACAAGATGTTTAAAGACCTTTAAAATCCTTCGCCGCCCTCTAATTATACTACCTTTTATGAACCACAAAATTTGCTGCTCCGGTCCGGAGCCGGTCTTTTTTTCGCGAGAAACAACAGCAAAGAGGGGAAAGTAACTTCTCACTCCTCCTTTTTCTTTTTTACCCACCCCCGTTCTCATTTTTCCCCCCAATTTTATTTTTCCTTTTTTTTAATTCACAAATATTATTTTTTTTATTCAGGTATTGGACAAGGGGGTCCAATACCGGGTAACGGGCTATAGTTCCTCAAAATACTTGTATAGGTAGAGTCGTGGACAATGAAGGAACCACATTGGAACATATGGGAGGACCGTTGTCTCCCCATTTTTTTTAAAACAATTGTGAAAAAGATATAAATAAATTACGCATGCAATTAATGATACAAAGAAGAATATGGTTTGGTGGTTGAGTTGGGAATAAGGCTAATTTTTAGTCCTGGGCTCGAATCCTAAATCTTTTTTTTTTCCATTTCTTATTGTTGGATTTGCTTTATAGTTTTTATAAGGTATTATGAGTCTTCAAGCCCCTAACTACTTTAATTTAATTATTTAATCTAGTACTACTTTGTTGATGGTGATTATCAATGTGTTAATTCAAAAAATATATTAATGAATACATATCTTTACTTTTTTTTATCTCTTTAATTAAGTGCTCTTAAATTCTATCTAATCCAAATTTTTTATGTTTTTAATTAATACATTACCATTTATTAATAATGTGTAACTAAGTTTAAAATTTTATTTATATGTATGGAGTACATTTGTAATAATAAGATTGATTATAGAATGTTGTGTTCATTTTTTTTAAATGTAATCCAAATTCCTTTATATTTATCATCAAATTGTTTAAAGGCTAATTATTTAACTTTATGATAAGGTGATAGATTCCTATTTATCAGTTATTGGATTACATTAACTTGGAATTGGGTTTTACATAAACAAACATTATTCATTTGTTGGATAATTTTCTTAATATACAATGAACATTTTTACTCCGCTTTTTCCCTATAGGAATAATTTCCATGTACGATTTCAAATAAATATTAAACAACTTCTGTTTTAGTCGAAACATTTAATCTTCGAAATTTGTCCTCCCGGATTAGAAATCCTAGCTCCACCACTGGTCGTAGGGTTAGTGGGAGAGAGATATAATAAAATAGTAGTTAGTGCTTTGTATAAAAGACATGTTGCAATGATCTTATACGGGCATAAAAGTAAAATGTGACTTTGATTACGAAATAGGGGGATATACCGACAATTTCAAATTCAAACATTACTAAATTTTAAAGTTCTCGTATTCTCCATCCCGGAACTAAATGATTCAAACTAAGATTGAACTTATAGTCAAAACGATTTTTTTCACCATACCACTGAGTTTTAACTTAATTCACCATATACCATCAAAAACTTTCAAATTCACCATATACCATTTAGTTTTATGAAAATGTCATAACATGCCATTCATGACTAACGGACGTTACACCGTTAGTCATTAAGGCTAATAAGGCCACGTGGCAACATATAATTGGTTCATTTTTAAATTATTTAATTTAAAATAGATAAAGGAAATATGGAAACTTTTTTTTTGAAAGAGAGATAGAGCATATATTAATTAAGGAGCAATGTCCAACTCCACCAATGTTACAATACTTTGCGGGAAAGAACTAAGACATAGAACTTCATCATTCCCCCCTATCTCTCCTTTCTCCCCTTGCAACAACGTGAGCTACCGCAATAAAACTCCTTTTAGCATGATAAAAAAGACAATTATTAAACCAAGCTCTATCTAATCTAATATCATCCTAAATGAGATGAATTAGGGATCGACCATGTGACTCGAGAGTGATGGTTTTTATAACATTGACAACATCAGACACGATCCAAAGATTAATGTAGCCAATCCGTTTTGTAATGGACAGGGCGTATCTCATTGCTTGGGCTTCAACACACTCAGGGGTAGCAAGCTCTGCCATCTTTGTTGTTGTTAATACAATGCTGCCAGCTTCATCCCTAAGGACCACCCCAAGTCCAGCTTTGTCAACTGCAGGAACGTAAGCATCGACATTCGCCTTGATACATCCTCGAGGGGGACATTTCCAGAATTGTTGCTGCCAATAGTAGTTGGGGGTAGCAGGGAAAAACACCTTCTTTGCATACTCCATATAATCATCCACCAGCCTACAATAATCTGCAGCAAGCATGACAACATTCGGGTGCTCATTCTCAAAGAAAATAAGGTTCTCGCAACGCCAAGCAACCCACATCAAAGTTGTCATACGCCTAAGCACCTTCCCTTCCACCTTGCCATAGAGCCAGTTCCACCTTGCCACGAAAGACTCAGTATGAGCATCAACCAAATACTCTAGCAGATCACTATGATCCCATATTTCCTGAGCAGCTGAGCATTTAAACAAAGAGTGAATGATCGTTTCACTTTCAGCCCCACAAATCTGGCAAGACACATTATTAGTGATATGTCTCTGCACAAGTCGAGCCTTCATAGCCAAATTCCCTTTAACCGCCCCCCACAAGAAGTAATAATCACACTTTTGACTCTTTTCTACTCAAATAATCTCACCTTTTTGATATCTGGAAACAATCTCACCTTTCGAACTCTAGAAATTTGGAAAAGGTTATTTTTTTAAAAAAAAAAATTTAATTGTTTTTCAATATCTCATCTCCTACCTTAACTCTTCCATGGCTACCCACCATAACCACCACCACCTTTCCATAAGCACCACCGCATCACCACCTAACCCTCACCCCCACCACCTTCTTTCCTTCTCTTGCTCCTAACCTCGACCACCCTACCATAGCTAACCCCCAAACACGACCACCCGCATTCACCCACAAAACCCCAAAACACCAACCACCCAGCCCCGACCACTCACCCAAAACCCGACCACCCTTTTTCTTCTTCAATTTGAATTGGCTTATCCAAGTTGGGCTTTGATCCCTACTTCAAACACCATCAAAATCCATCATCGTTCATCATCATAAAAGATCGGCATCATCAAATTGAAGGAGTTGTGTCTTCGATAAGTGCAATTACTAGATATATCAAGGATCAATATTATGGAGATAATAAGTTCGTTCTCTTGGGTCGTCATTATCTGTTGCTAGACTATGAGCGATGATCTTTGGGCTAGTCAAATGGTCCAAAGCCCGCTAGAATGGATCCTATGAGGTCACACACAAGGGTATTGGGTTAAGCAAGTTAGAGGCCCATTAATGGGTCTCATGAGCATTTAACTAATCATGAATAGGATTGGGCTAGTGTAGTTTGATTGGAATTAGGAGTTGGGCTTTGTCATGGACTCTTATTTAGAGATGTGATCTATAAATAAGATCCATGCCCAGGGTTGATTAATTAAGTCACAATTAACTTACAGTGAATTGTGGATCAAGGCAACCAAATCCCAAAAACCTTAATTCCCTCTCTCAAACTCACGGCACCCCTCTTCTCCCCCTTGGACTCGCGGCCGGCCACCCCTAGTGGCGTTCTTGGTGTTTTGTGGTGGTTCGTGATTAGTTCGTTGTTCATTCTTCTCCGTAGAAGGTCGATTGAAGGGTTCAATCGCGACTAACTAGCATTAGTGGAGGTCTTAATCTATGCCCGTTGACCAAGTAGAGGAATCACGCTTGAGGTTCTTTGTCTCCCTTGTTCTTGCTCGATCACTAGTGGAATCACGCTTCAAAGGTATACATTCTTGCTCTTTATGTGTTATGAATGAGATCCTTGGTTTGGTGCTTTATGAATTTGATTCATGTTTATTCCGCAATTAGTACCTATAAACTCCTACACAAATCACCACCGTTTGGATCTTAATTATGGATTTTCTTCAAGTCTGGAGACTGGAGACATGCAATGGTGGTTTTGTGGTTGTCGTGTGTTGAGCGATGGAGTTTTTATTGTGGGTTCATGGACGGAGGTCGGGTTGTTGATGTCGTTGACGTTGTTGCTTGTTGATGTCGTTGATGTTGTTGCTTGGAGGTAGGGTTGTTGCTTGCGGTTGTAGAGTGGTTGTGATTGATGGAGTTGGCTTCGGTAAAGGGAGGGATTAGCTCCAACAGGGGGAGGTGGATCAGTCCAGCAAGGGTAGTGGGCAAGTCACCTATAATTTTTAATGATTAAAAAACGAAAACCAATAAGAAGATTACACGTGTCAAGTCACCTTTTTAAACAGGTTACTAATGTGACAAACCGATAAAAGACTCATTTTAAGCAGATGGGGTTCAAACGTGGGATTGTTTCCATATTTAAAAAGGTGGGATTGTTTTCAGCAAAAAAGCCAAAGGTGGGATATTAGTTTAATTTCATTTTCCAAAAAAAAAAAAACAAACAATCACCTAAGTTCACCACCACCCTGTCCTAACACCGCCCGTCAGCGCAAAATCTGACGAGCGAGCTAGCGCGGAATCCGATCCAGCCAACCACCACCACTATCCCACCATCTTAAACCCTCTCCCTCCTTTGAAAAACTCTTGCTCCCTAACCACCGACGCACAAACTGCTAGCGCCCAAACCCCTCCCCCGTGCACGCTAACCCAATTCTTCCCTCTAATGGGAATGGTGTCCTTCAAACAAGTGTACTATCTCGATAGAGGGTTTAGAATTATTAGAAAGCTAATTATTCAATAAGGTCAAGTGAACAGAATGCCTAGCTAGAGGTCGCTTCCGGTCGGTAATATTAATGTATAATTAATATTACAGCTAAATCTTCACTGAACCCTTCGGGTCACACCCAAGCAATTAAACTATCCGTAACGACAAATTAATCCGAAGTAATTAATGAGTCAACAAAGTTATTATGAATAAAGACGTCGGTTTCCAAGCTTAGGCCGTTGGAACTGAGTGTCGTAAGTCGATTCGATTTTAGTAATCAATGAAGACAGAAAAATAATCAGATGACAAATTGTGCTAAAAAGAATAGCACGACCCTTAGCCACGCCTCAGATCGAAGGCAAGTGGCTAAGGGGCCGCAAGCAACAAGGCACCAAGCCACCGCAGCCCTCGCAAGGCCTAGATAGGCTTGTCGTGGAGTGCGGGGCTAGCTGGGGCAACTTTGTGGGCTATGCACCATAGGATCCCCAGCCGGGCTTGCCCAGCAAAGGTCAGGCCAGCAATCATCCGAGGTTACTACTGGGCCTATGTTGCTGCTGCTTGCGTTAGGCGCATGGGCCTGCGGCAACAAGCATGGGCTTGCGGTAAAGGGGCTAGCTGCCTAGCCTTATGGCGAAAGGCTAGCAGCGAAGCTGGCCTTGCTTCCCAAGGCGAGGCAGCTGCCCGTACTGAACGGGTTCATGTGGACAACCCTTACCTTGCTCTCCAAGCCCAAGGTTTGAGGGTGGTCTTCTCTATGTTGACCAAGTGTGCCATGCACATTTGGTTAGTAGGTTTATGCTTGCCCTCCAAAGAATGAGTTTGTGGTCCTTACCTACTCCCTCCTCAGGTGATGACACTTGTCATGTGATTATTGTTTCATGACTTTTAATTTAATTTAGAATTAATTAATTGCTTATTTTTCTCACTCTATCATTTCTCCCACATGGAAAGATGATAGAAGTTTATAATTTGGGAACCTTTGCCTATAAATACCAACCTTATGAGTTGGGATTATTCACTTGAGTTAAACTCAATAAGGCATCTCCCATAAGGTGAGAAAACCTTTAAGTTTGTAATACTCGAGTAAGTCTAATTTTGGTCTAGCCCGGCTAAGCTCCTGGTAGGGGATGGATGGGTCGTGTTTGCGGGTGGACTTTGTAGGAGGTTCTCACATTTGTGAAACTCGAGTAGCTTTCGAAATAAGGGCTCTCTAAGGAGCAAAGCACGCTACAAGGGTAAAATAGTCTTTCTCTCTCTTTGTTAATTGTCTTGTTAATTATGCATGTATTAGCTATATTAATTGTGAGCGGGTCTTGGGGTCAGGTTTTGTATTCCGTGGGAAGTTGGACTTTCTTAAACCCAACACCCTCTCCCTACCATCTCCATCCCTTCCCCCCCTCCTCCCGAACCACCATCCCAAAACTCTAATACCCAAAATCAAAATCTAGGGTTTCAATTTTGGGGTTTTAAGTTTTCGATATCCGGGTTGTTAGAGGGGGAATTCATGGTGGGGGTATGGGTAGTTCAAAGAAGGAGTCAGCGCCGAAGCGAGCCGAAGCTGAGGTGAGGGACAGCACCGACGCGATGGAGGGGCGTAACGTCGGCTCGGTGTTGGGCAGGCTGAAAAGGAGTAGTGTGGGGCGAAGAAAGGGTGATCATTTTTTTAATTTTTTCTCTTTTTTTTTGTAATGATTTTCTATTTTTTTTTTTAATTAGAGTAGCAGTGTAGGCGGAGTTAAAAAGGCAATTAGTGAAATTTTCTAAAACTTATGATTATATGGTGAATTTGAAAGTTTTTTATGGTATATTAAGTTAAAACTCAGTGGTATATGGTGAAAAAGACGTAGTCAAAATAACCCAACTCAAATTTTAAGAAAAACTGAATTGATTTGAACCAAGGTCTAATCGAATATGAAATGATCAAAGTCCATTTTATCCACTTTATCCCAAACAAACCCAATTAGATATGAATCTAAGCTCACTTAAACTTGATATGGCTCGACCCAAATTTGACTTGACCCAAATAAATTAGAACTAAACTTTGCCTGCTCAAATTTGATATTCGACACAGGCAAGGTCCCCCCCCTTGGGGACTAGGGAGGTAACGGTCCAATTAATCAACACGCCGAAAGAATTTAATTAAGCTCGACCCAAATTTGACTTGATCCAAATCGATTAGAACTGAACTTTGCCGGCTCGAATTTAATTAAGCTAGACCCAAATTTGACTTGATCCAAATCGATCAAAATTGAACTTTGCCTGCTCAAATTTAATTAAGCTCGACCCCCACTTGATTTGCTCGGTTAGGATAATAAATTGTTATTACTTGTCCCATCATTAGTCAACCCAAACTCTATTTTAATACTCAATTTGACACCTCCATTTTTTTAATGCAAATTAACACCTCCATTTATAGATGTCAAAATATGACATTTGCATAGTACACCAAGGTGTACCATGCTCACGGTACACCCTGTAGAAAATAAAGGCATTCTTCAAATTAGTTTTTTTTTTCATTCCTCAATTTTAGGGATTTGTTAGTTATTCTCCATATTAATAGTTTTCAAAAATAGATTTGATATTTTTGGAGAGACATAATTACATTTTCAAAATACAAAGAGAATTTCCAGAGAGTCAAAATTTTTAGCAAAGAAAATAAATGGCAGGGTGTAAGAAATTCGACATGATTCCATTACAAATTGTTGATAATACGTATGAGAATGAAGATTTGGTTAATATTGAAGATGAATTTGAGGATTTCATAATCAAATGTGATGATATTTTTTTTATAGATTTTTTTGTATTACAATTTTATACCTAATTATAATTACGATGTTGATGCTAATGATAATGTTCTCTTAAATTATTGAATTTCATAAATTGTGGATTATTTCG